TTGTTAAACCCATTCCCTATCTACCCTAAGCTACAAATGGCCTTAATTAAAGTCTCCAGTAATGTTGCTTGAATTGCTACTAATCATCCTCTCATTTCAGCTCTTTGGTGGTACGAGAAAAGATTTTGCATCTAATGGTCGTGGAAACTTCCGATCGGAAATCAATATACTTCTTTGTGGTGACCCAAGTACGTCTAAGTCTCAACTTCTGCAGTATGTGTATAGCATATCTCCCCGAGGTCAATATACCTCCGGCAAAGGTAGTTCTGCAGTTGGTCTCACGGCTTATGTCACAAAGGATCCAGAAACTGGGCAAATTTCTCTACAAACCGGGGCTTTAGGTGAGTTTTCGATTTTTCACAAAGGATCGAAGTGTTCATTAGTATTTCTTATTCTGTTATGATGCTCGTTATATTTTTTTATTTATTCTTCTGACAAATTGTAGCATATGCAAGTCGGTGTTCTTGGCGCATCAAAAAGTGATGGGCCATTCGACTTGGTTTTCTTTGGTTGGTGTTTCCAGCAACTGTTTCTCTCATTGAATGCGCTTGAAACTAGCTATGCGACGCATTAACTTTTTAGTTTCCGCTTATTTGATCAAAAGACAACGGAGCTCTGTTCGTGCACGGTCAAAGGTAGCTTATGTGGTGCCCTATCATATCATGATTTTGTCCCAATTTTATCATAGATTCATCATTTTGCCTTACTTGATCATCTGTGATTACTTCGAAGGTCCCTGTATACTCAGATTTCCAGATCCTAACTAAAAATGGGGTGCTGGTATTTCTTTCAGAGAAAGGTCACTCTCGGACTTGTTCAATGGTTATCCGTACATGAAGCAGTAAAGCGGTTGCTCAGCCGCACTTGTGAATCCCAGTCTAAACGAAAATGAATAGCTTTTCTCATTTCAAGTCAAGTATTGTTTGCAGGTAATTAATTAGGAAGTTTTTTGTTAGCGTCGCTAGGAGAAAAGGCGCACTTTCATTGGGAAGGTAATAAGAGCCTCGATTTCCCCAGGACTTCATGTACTTGATTGATGATCGACTTTAGTGTATTAATAAGTTGTGCATTAATACCTATGATGGGCTACGCCAACTAGATTGTGTATGCACACGTTCGGTCTCCTTTTGACATTTGATTGGTGGTCTTTTAATTGCGTCGTACTATACAGTTTAGCTTCAATTTCAATGAGCTTTCGCTATACCAACGAGTATTCGTGTTTTCCTTCTTGTTTGGTATATCTGCCTTTAGGTAGGAAAAGATGCTCTACCAAATGTTGGCATCCCTAAAACGAGTCTCAAATGCCAAAATCCAGAAGATTGAATCGCTTTTAAGTACATTCAGAGTGGATTAAGTTTGAGGTTCGAGAACAAATTGTATTTGATCTGAGTAGTCATATTGAAGGATCGTTGTTAACAAATAAGATTTGTACTTCTTTTTTGAATTAATGATAGATTTACCGATATTCTGATATTATTTGTTCTCTTCCTATCAGTGCTTGCTGATAACGGAACTTGTTGCATTGATGAGTTCGACAAGATGGCCGATTCGACACGTTCAGTACTTCATGAAGTAATGGAGCAGCAGACTCTGAGTATTGCTAAGGCAGGAATCCTCTGTCAACTTAATGCTAGAACAGCTATTCTAGCCGCTGCCAACCCTGTTGGTTCTAAGTGGGACCCCTCAAAAACCATCATTGATAATATTCAGGTAGAGCTCCTTAATTATGGGCTTAATTAAAAATAGTTAGTAATTTATGTGACCACTGAATTGTATTGAGTATTTTGTTTTTTTTTCAGCTGCCTCATACCCTGCTGTCTCGTTTCGACTTAATTTTTTTGATACTCGATCCACAAGACGAGGTGTATGATGCTCGTTTGGCACGGCATTTGGTTGGTCTCTACTACAAGGGCACAGGTGGCGATATGAAACAGAGACCAGGTACTGCAATCTTGTCAACACCCATGGATTTGGACATAGATGATCCAGTTTATCATGGCGATTCGGCAGCTATGCTGAGAGATTATGTTGCCTATGCTAAGGTAGGTTGATTTTTAATCATTTCCATAAAATGGAGCTCTTTTTTCACTCCCATAAGCCGTTCTCCTATATAAAGGTTGCAAATGGGTAATCACAAGTTATCAAATCGTTAGCGTTATTGATTTTAACTTATGATAATATTATTTTCGCCATCTTTTACAACTCCCATTGTTTTCGTAGTTTTTCGAAAAGTTTAAAAAATGTCTTTTTCGTTTTAAAATATTCGTTTTGGTGGTTTTTCCCACTTTGACTGTATCTCGAGATTTTTTACTCAACTGATTTGCATCAGTGGAGACAATATTCTACTAAAACAGCCATCTTTATTCTCCTCTTAAGTGCTTTTAAGTCGCACTGATTTTAGAGTGAAATGATTTTCACATCGCAAATCGGTGAAATTCTCTGATCCCGTTCGATCTTATTTTCTAATATTCAGTCGAGTGAAGGTATTATGTCGAAACTCCCCGGTGATCTAGTAATATTAATAATAATAATAATAATTTCGGTTGGCTATTTTGAATTTTGCCCCAGTTGTGATAAATCGTTAAACTTATTTTTGAAAATGTCTAATACTTCCATTTATTTCCCTTTTATTCAGGCGATGTATCATCCAAAGTTAAGCGAGGAAGCCAGCGAATTCCTTGTTCGTGAATACGTGGAAATGCGCAAAATTGGAGCCAACCGTGGACAGGCAAGTAGTCTTGAATATTATTTTATCTTCCGCAGGAATACGTTTGAATGCTATCCAGATTTATAAAGAAAATGGTAAAAATTTAATGGCAGTTCACCAAAATTCTGCCAATTCTGAAGACTTTCATAAACATTATTATTATTTTTATTATTATTATATCAAATGGCAGGCGTTTTGATGGTTATCATTAGCCCTTTAGTTGACTTCAGGCTTCACAGAGGGAAGGAATATCTAAGTACCAAAAGGTCGAGGGGAATGGGGGGGGGACAGAAGAGTGTTTTAAAGATGTAAAAGAGACAGACATAATGGTAGAAAAAAAGGTGAGATGAGTACTGTGAAGGAGTCGAATATGACATACAGTGGGGTGATGGTAGTTTGAAGTGAGAAGTCAACTGCCAATTAATAGACTTTTTTGCCGTATGAGTATACGTCGCCCAGGGTGCACCCCACTTCCAGAAGCATAAGATGTAGCATTTCACTTACTAGATTTCGGCTTATCCGCGTCAACTCGAGTCTCTTATTCGTTTGGCTGAAGCCCACGCTAAAATGCGTCTGTCGAATGTGGTCACTGCGGACGACTGCCGTGAAGCTAGGCGTTTGCAGCGTGAGGCCATAAAGCAGACTGCTATTGATCCAGTCACTGGAACTATCGATATCAATATTCTCACAACAGGTATGTTGGTTCTTTCCATTTATCATTGAAAGTGTTTGAAGTTTTTTTAAAAGTGTGATTGAAACGCCTTTCCGCCTCATCGGCTTGATTTTACCTATTCTTTGTGACACGAATTGATTATCGTTTCTGATGTTTGAACGCGCGTAATCTATGTTTTATTACTCTAAATCATGGCTAGAGTTTATTATCTCTACGTTTACCTGAGAGACAGAAGGTATTGCGTTAACGCGCTGCTTTTTATGCCTCAGGTCATTAAAACTTTGAGCTAGGTTGTTTTACTTCGAGTTGGTCTCAGAATATTCTTAATTTGGTTAACCCGTTCATTGGGATGACTTTGAACGCAAATTATGTGCTATCATTAGTAGTAATGCATACTTTCCCATTTCAGGCGTAAGCAGTAGTATGCGTAAGCGTCGTGAGGAGATGGCAAATGCAATTTGGTCAATTCTGGAGCAGCGTCCACGCGTCATCACCTTCGCTTACTCTCGCGTGTTGGAGCAACTGCGTGCCACATCGGAGCGTATGGTTACTGTGGAGACTTTCGAGGATGGACTAAATGTTCTGCGAAATGCCAACAAGGTGGAATGGGCTGGCAACACCATTCGCAAGCGCTGAGTGGTGTCACCGTTCCCAACCTAACTATTTCATTTATGTGTTCAACCTAGTAATCGTCGATTGGTCCGTTGTCTATTAAGATATATATTTTTGATAAAGAAAATGCTAAGAATTTGATAATAAGTAAAGTCATATGTCGCCCGTTTAAATACTTTTTTTCACTGTTGTCGATTTTTGGGTACCTTATGGTAGAAATTGGAAGTTGGAGTTGGAATAATTGCGTTTAGAGTCACTAACGCATGCGATTTTGGAATAGAAGCGGTGATTTTCGTTCATTATTTTACATCAACAAACCTAAGTCACAGGTATATTAAAACATTGAGTTGAATGTCGACTTGGGTCTATTATATGGGAGCAGTTAAAATGCATGCGTAGAGAAGGTGAGTGTGAGAAGCTGATCTTGTCACTGGTATTGGATGGACCAGCTTATTTCACACCCTGTTCACAATTGATATGCGTATCGTTCGCGTACTAACAACTCGAGGTGGTTGCTTTCTCATCATCAGTCGTACAACTTGCTTTCAGTCAACCGGAACATAGCTGGCTGCTTCTTATTCTACCAGCCCACAGACATTTCGGCTACCTCTCCCCACTTTTTATCACTGGGAGTACGCCAAATCGTTAACAGCGTGATTATCAGTCTGGATAAATAAGCTTAATTTAGGCTTCGATGGTCAGTTAAATCTAGAAAGGGTTAACTTCTAACAAGTGGTATTTCAGTCAATAGGCTATCCTGGAACATCTAGGTATGTTGTGTTTTCGCCTCGCGTCTGTTCCAGCCGTAACCTTGATATCTAATGTACAACCATGATTATTGAGGTGCAGGCAAACATTTTTGAGTTTAAAGTAATTATCGTGTGATTGAACCAGTACTCGAACTATAGGATAGGATTATTAGTGTCATCAATGGTAGTGCGTCATGGTGGGATGGTGGTTAAGTGGTGGATACAAAATAAGAATTTTGTGACTTTTTGTCCATTAGTGTGCACCCGATGCGCACAACTGGCAGACGCATTGGAAGGGCTTGTTTGATGAAGCGGCTGTCTGAATCCATGCGTTTGTCCACACAAATAGAGTGGAAAACTCGGATCATAATCAATGGCGCAGTAATTTATTTATAGTATAAATTGTTTAAAAAGGGGTTTCCAATAAAGGCTCTCCATACGAGAAATGCCTATTCTATTGGCGTTGACCACACATCGATCGAGTAATATATGGCATGGTAGACGTGCACTTTGATAACTGCTTCGTAAGCAAGGTGGGCCAGGACATTTTCAAGCATATTCAAGATCAGATTCAGGGGTGTGTGATAGACTTACCTCCACGTGGTGCACCCTGGGCAACGTATACTCATGTGGCAAATAGTCTATAAACCGGCAGTTGACTTCTGAGTTCAAGATATCATGACCCCACTGTATGTCATATTCGACCACTGGCACAGTATTCACCTCACCTTTCACCTACCTTTGTGTCTGTCTATTTTGCATATTTGAAACATTCTTCTGTCCCCCCCCCTCTCTCGACTTTTTTCGATTTGATGTTCCTCTCCCTCTGTGAAGCCTGAAGTGAACTAAAGGGCAAATGATAACTATCGTAAAGCCTGCCATTTGATATAAATAAATAGGATCAGATTCATGGCAGGATTGGAAGCAAACAATCCGTAAAATTTGATCAACTCTTTGAAATTTTGCTTTGCCTCTGCACTTGGGTTGTCATTGGAGTTAACGCAACATCATGCCAAGTAGTCGCTGGCAATATATATATATATATATATATACATATATGACGTGAGCTGCTTTTATTAACGTTCATTTCGATGAAACTTCTACATTTGAATTGACTAATACTCTTATAAATCATTTTCAAAAGTGTAGAGTTTTGAATAGGTAAAAAAGTTAAAGAATCGCTTTATTGATTTCGACGAGATGCCTCTTAAAGTGCGCACGAGTGATAACAAATTGATGTCTATTGAAGACGACATTGTCAAACAAGTAAACCTGTTTAAATGTATAATTAGTAGTAAGTGTTTGCCTGTTTAAATCACCATCCTACAATTTATGAAGACGCTTCAAATGCAAAACAAATTGACTCGGAGGAATCCGCGGTTTTCTTGGAACCAGTATCATTGAGGATATTGCGATTGGTTATCAAATGGTGCAAAAGCCACAAAGAAGACGAAGGCGAATTGTTCAAGGGACCACCACACAATTGGAGATTACGACAAGATGATAAGGATTTTTTCTCACTCTATAAAGACGAAGTTTTCAAAATTCAAGACGCAGCAGATTATCTTCAGATAAAACCCCTATTTGATGCAACTTGTGTAGCTATAGCTGATCGATTGAGGAATAAAGACTTCAAAGAAATAAGTGAGGAATTTGGGATCAGCACCTGTGAACCTCTCGTGAGTGCCATGATTAATATGCATATTAATGGATCAATTTTGTGGCTATAACTAGTTAAAGACTTAGTCACTGAGGTGTATGTTCACTTGTTTTCATAATAAAAGCATAAAATGAGGCTGAAATTTTGTTTTCATTTTGTGGTACGTGATGGATTGGATAGAAAATGAATCATTGAACTCGTTAGCATGTGTTTGAAGGACTATACATTACTTCCTTCTGGTGATATTTGTAGGCCGGTGTATGTGGCCCTACTCTGCTACATCTGCACTCGCTGTTAGAACAAACTAGTCAAGCTTCACCCTCCCACCTACCCCCGTCATCACAAGACACTGTGTTTCCTTCTCCTCCTACATCTCTACAGTCCTCCTCCACAAAAATGCTTCGAACCCTATGTTTCGAACACCTGTCACATCCGACCCAAACACTTGTACACTTGTCATGTTCGAAGGGCTTCATTCCCACCCCTTGTAAACACCTATAAAACACTCCAAGAGGAGAGCTTTGTGGAGAATGCAGCGTTATTATGGCGAAAATAGAGGTCTACCGACCCATCTACGGACCAAGTCAGGACGTTATATCAACGGTTGAAACTTGCTACGTGATTACACGTTAATCATAACTCACGTGATTATCCAGCCAATCAACGGCTCGAGTTATCACGTGCTTGTCATGCAATAATACGCTTATTATGACTAAGTTCCTCGTCTGTAATTGGACAATCAAAATTAAATGTGTTCCATGTCATACAACTGTTTCATCCATCGCTTAGCTAATTCTGGAAGTCTTTCCAAAGCTAAGGAGAAACTGCCATAGAGAATAGTCAAGGTTTATTATTTATCTTTTATTAATGATTAAGCAGGAAGTTGATCGAGTGAGGAATAGATAATTGAACGAAGAAGTCGGCAGTTTGAGATCGGCATAAGTGCACAAACCATATGAATTATTCGATTAACGAGCTTATTAATGTGGAAAAGTTTCATTTGAACAATTACTTAAGGAAGGGGATCTTGAGCTGAAGGAACAGTTATTTTCAAAATAAAAGCATTAAATGCACGTGAAATGTAAATGCCAATTTGGAACTTAGAGTCCACTGAATTCCTTAAATCGTCAGCGCATGCTTACTAGAACTAAGTGAATCTTCGAGGAATATTCAATGCTATACCAGAGAGTTTATCAGTTGTAGCGAATCGCAACGCCAGCAGGAATTGATTTTTCGGCAGTAACCTCAAGGGCAATATATCCTAGAATGGATAGACTCGAGGGACGTGGGTGGGATAGGGGAAGCAGAAGTAATACGAGAATAAAGTTAATTGAAATTATGATCACTCCAAAATGATGAGTAATTGAAACCACATAGCACAACTTGGATGAATCTTAGTGAGTGACTAGCTGAGAAGACCTCTGCACTCACTGCCTCATCATTGTGATAGTAATGCGTATTTAACACAGTGAAGCTGATTGCTAGAAGTGCAAGCCTTAATTAAACAAAGGTATTGACAATGACTCCTGAAACAGTTGAAACGCTATTAAGCAATGACGTCATTGTGTGAAGTGGAGTAGAATTTGGAAAGAAATCATAATTTTAAAGGGACCATAGATTTAAGCAAAGTTGATTTGCTTACTCGCTATGAAAGAGAAGAAACACCATTCTGTTCAGTTCAGGGTTGAATGAGGATTAGCACCACTGCTGACAATACAGAATTCATGAAATCAATGTTCGCAGTTGATAAAGTAAAGGTACTGGTTGGGAGCCGTGTAAAGTATGCATTATAGTAGTATAGATGTGTCAATGTAAACAATCGATAACTTGCAAATTTTGTCAATTGATGAAATATCTGCAAAAACCGTGGTCTCGGCCATCTGTCAACAGTGTCATGACACCGACATAAATTTTGGTGACCTCATAGAAAGATACCATTATAAAAACGAAACATTTGCTACATCACCTCATCCGTGACCCCGAATGACCAAATTCAGTGCACTTGGAAACGAAATACACTAACCAATAGAGAGTGACTTACATTGCTGCTACATATGTCACATATATATATAGCTCGACGAATGTTACTAATGTCATAACGAAACTGTTACACTTGCTGTAAACATGTCTTCCTCTCGCTCTCCATCTCCAATTTCTCCAAACCCTGCCCATCCAAATGCAAAAGCACAATTTCTTCCTGCAACCACCAACAAGTCTCCCCATGCTTTCACTTCTCATTTGTCTAATTTGTCATCTCCACATTCACCTCCTCAATCTCCTTCTACTTCTGCCTCTACTTCTACGCCTCTATCCACTTTCCTTCCAACTCCTTCCATCCCCCCTCTTGCTTCACCACATTCATTGCATCTCCTTGCAATTCACCAACACTTACTCTCCACTAGTGACGATGAGACTACTCACAATTCTAAAGATTTCAGTGCCACTTCTTCTCCCCCTCCTCCTCCTCCTCCTTCTCATCCTCCTTGCCCTCTTCCCTCTCCAACGTCACCTCCAATTCTCATTCCCACTCGCATGCCTCCTCCTTCTCCCACATCTCCTCCTCCATCATTCCACTCTTCAAACTCCACCACACACTCACAATTATCCCAATCCGCGCACAACACACAACACGCCTCAATTCCACATGGGAATGCATCCCTACTCTCCATCACCGCCACCGCCACCATCACCAACTACAACACCACCACCACCACCACTTTCACTACCATCCACACCTACACATCTACACTCACGTCCACCTCGCCATCACTCTCCACCTCCACCTCCACCACAAACTCCATCTCCATCTCCTCACTCATCGCTTCCACCACTTCACCCAACTCCTCATCCATCTCTTCATCCAACTCTTCACTCTCCACCTCCGAGGATACACACCTCTCCATCTCGTCTCTTCAAACCACCATGACACGCACCACTCCACTCACTCGCAAGCACACACACTGCCCACAGTGCAACAGGAAATTCTCACGACCATCCCTCCTCGCACGCCATCTGCGAGTGCACTCGAGAGAGAAGCCTTTTGGCTGTCGTTACTGCTGCAAGTGCTTCCCAACCAAGAGCTCATGCATCACTCATCAACGACTTCACACTGGTGAGAAGCCCTATGTATGCCAAGTGTGTGGTCACCAATTCACTGCATCATCTAACTTCATTAACCACAACAAACGCAAACACCCTCCAACCTCTCCCCATTCAACTACTACACCACCTTCCTCACCACCTTCCTCACCACCAACATCATCCCCGATCCGCGCTCCATGTGGCTCCACAACAACTACTTGCACACCTCAATCAACTCATCATCACTTCAAATGTATGCACTGTCATTGCGCCTTCACCAACGAGCGTGAGTGGAGATTGCGCATTCAACTCACTCATTCTCCAGCACAAGAAGCTTCACCTCCTGCCACACTCAGATCACATGCCATGGCTTACGCGCCTCCACCTCTCTCCACTTCCACTCCAACAACCACCTCCATTTCCTCATTTCACACATTAACACACTCAGCCCCACACTTTCCAACTATCAGCCACTTTACTCTCAACTCGTCAACTTCTCCAACACCACTTCCACCTTCTCGTACTAGCGTTGACGCCACAGGCACTGATATTGCAATGACTCTCCACCACTCCCAATTTCACACACACAACTTCCTCACTCAAGACCATCACACCCACACCCACATCCACCACCAACACCAACAACTCCAACCACACCACTTCATTCATCTCCACCTGTATTGCCACAAAATCAATTCCACAGCACCAAAATCACCTCTAACAACATCGCAACCTCAACACCCCCTCCCCATTCGTCACTCTCGTCCCAGCTTCAACTCATCTACCTCCATTTCTTACAATCACTCCACAAGCACCACTTAATCCGCGTCCATCACTTTTGCTCTACCCTCCCATTCTCATCACATTCTCACTTCAAAGGCAAATACAAAACCCGAAAAACATTTAACATCCTTCAATATGACCTCACCTCACTCATCACAATTTTACACCTCTTGCTTCGATTACCCCTCTTCCACAACATCCTCCTACCCCCACCCCACATCTGCTCTTTACGTCCTATCTTCCCTCCACTTTATCACCCACCATCTCCATCGTCTACTTATCCCTTCCAAAATAAGTATTTCAACATCTCAACATACAATTCATCAAGTAAGGGTGCGAGATAGACTTACCTCCACGTGGTGCACCCTGGACAACGTATTGTCTATCACTCGGCATTTGATTTGACTTCGATTTATTATGCTTCAAAAAGGCTATAAGAAAAATCGCCCTCGTCAGGGCGAGAAACAAGTCTATAAGAGAAATCGTCCTCGTCAGGGCGAATCACAACGTCTACAAATCCTCCAGTGGATTGCTGGAGGGATATCACAGGACAAAAAATCCAAGCCTATCCTCACCTTCTCAATCCAATCAAGCGTCTTCTATAACTCACTAGTTTAGTTACTGCCGAGCTTATCTAACAATCCAAATAAATTGCTCATCGAAAAGAATAGAATTGTGCTAAATGAAGGAAAACTCGTCGGTGAATGTCTTCACTCTTCCTCTTATTTATGATTACATCTTCATTTTTGCTTATAGATGTTTGATGAATCATCCCACGACAACTCTTATTACTTCTACAGGTTTTCGTCCTTTCATGGCTTTGTCGGCCTTTTCGTATCTCCTCGTATGCATATGATTGGTTTAACCTCAACTTTAATTCTGGTTTTACTTATGCCTAAATTTCAAATGCTCAATGATATGGAACACGGGGTGTGCGATAGACCCTCCCCCACATGGTGCACCCCGGGTAAAGTACACTCAAACGACAAAAATGTCCAGAAACTGACATTCGACTTCTGACTTCAAACTACTAGGACCCGAATGCATGTCGTATTCGACCACTTCCACAATGTTCACCTTACCTTTTCTCTACCTTTATGCCCGCCTGTATTATTTACATCTGTGAATAACTCTTCCGTTCCTTCTATCTACTTTTTCCCACTTTGATGTTCCTCCTCTCTGTGAATTCTGATGTCAGCTAAAGAAATAACTACATGCATTAAAACATCTGTCATTTGAAATACATAAACGATATGTAACACACTACTCGACTCAGCTAAACTGAGCGATCCCATGCATGCACGAGCATTCCTTGAAGTGCCGTCTTTATATTGGTGATCGCGTAATGTTGCAAGTGGGCATACAAGTGGGTAGACCTCCCTGTCTGTCAGCAGTGTGGACCAAAAACATTTACTGATTAGGAGAACCACATGATTGTCATAGCATAAATTGACGCTTTTACGCCAGACCTTCAATTTTCACGATATTATTGAGAAACCTCCGTTAGTTTCAGGAGTCATTGTCAATACCTTTGTTTAATTAAGGCTTGCACTTCTAGCAATCAGCTTCACTGTGTTAAATACGCATTACTATCACAATGATGAGGCAGTGAGTGCAGAGGTCTTCTCAGCTAGTCACTTACTAAGATTTGATAACCAATTGCAATATTTTCAATGACACTGGTTCCAAGAAAACCGCGGATTCCTCCGAATCAATTTGTTTTGCATTTGAAGCGTCTTCATAAATTGTAGATTGGTGATTAAAACAAGCAAACACTTACTACTAATTATACATTTATACAGGTGTACTTGTTTGACAATGTCGTCTTCAATAGACATCGATTTCTTATCATTCGTCGAAATCAATATAGCGTTTCTTTAACTTTTTTACCTATTCAAAACTCTTCACTTTTGAAAATGACTTATATGAGTATTAGTTAATTCAAATGTAGAAGTTTCATCGAAATGAACGTTAATGAAAACAGCTCACGTCATATATATATATGTATATATATATATATATATATATATATATATGTATATTGCCAGCGACTACTTGGCATGATGTTGCGTCAACTCAATGACAACTCAAGTGCAGAGGCAAAGTAAAATTTCAAAGAGTTGATCAAATTTTAAGGATTGTTTGCTTCCAATCTTGCCATGAATCTGATCCTGTTTATTTATATCAAATGGCAGGCTTTACGATAGTTATCATTAGCCCTGTAGTTGACTTCAGGCTTCACAGAGGGAGAGGAACATCAAATTGAAAAAAGTCGAGAGAGGGGGGGAACAGAAGAGTTTCAAATATGCAAAATAGACAGACACAAAGTTAGATGAAAGGTGGGGTGAGTACTGTGCCAGTGGTCGAATATGACATATAGTGGGGTCATGATAGCTTGAACTCAGAAGTCAACTGCCGGTTTATAGACTATTTGCCGCATGATTATACGTTCCTCAGGGTGCACCACGTGGAGGTAAGTCTATCACACACTCCTGAATCTGATCTTGGGTATGCTTGAAAAATGTCATGGCCCACCTTGCTTACGAAGCAGTTGTCAAAGTGCACGTCTACCATGCCATATATTACTCGATCGATGTGTGGTCAACGCCAATCGAATAGACATTTATTGTATGGAGAGACTTTTTTTGGAAACCCCTTTTTAAACAATTAAAGTAGCTCTCTTAATGACTTTGTGAGTTCTGTTTCTAAATCAGAAAACAATTTATACTATAAATAAATTACTGCGCCATTGATTATGATCCGAGTTTTCCACTCTATTTGTGTGGACAAACGCATGGATTCAGACAGCCGCTTCATCAAACAAGCCCTTCCAATGCGTCTGCCAGTTGTGCGCATCGGGTGCACACTAATGGACAAAAAGTCACAAAATTCTTATTTTGTATCCACCACTTAACCACCATCCCACCATGACGCACTACCATTGATGACACTAATAATCCTATCCTATAGTTCGAGTACTGGTTCAATCTCACGATGATTACTCTAAACTTAGTGTGCATTTGCTAAAGCAAATTACAACTTCACGAAATCAATCAGTTGATAAAGAAAAGGTACTGGTTGGGAGCCGTGCAAAGTATGTTTTATGCCAGTATGTAAGTGTGAATGTGGACAATCCATAATATGCAAATATTGTCACTTAATGACACATCTGCAATACCGTGGTATCGGCCATCTGTCAACAGTGTCATGACACCGACATAAATTTTGGTGACCTCATCAAAAGATAGCATTATAAAAACGAACCATTTGCTACATCTCCTCATCCGTGACTCCAAATGATCAAATTCAGTGCACTTGGCAACGAAATACACTGACAAACAAACACTCACAATTATCCCAAACCGCACATAACACACAACACACCTCAGTTCCACATGGGGATGCATCCCTACACTCCATCACAGCCACTCTCACTGCAACCTCCACCAACACCACCACCACCACTTTCACTACCATCCACACCTACACATATAAAATCACGACCACCTCACCATCACTCTCCAACTCCATCTCCACCACAACCTCCACCTCCATCACCTCACTCATCGCTTCCACCACTTCACCCAATTCGTCATGCATCTCTTCATCCAACTCTTCACTCTCCACCTCCGAGGATACACATCTCTCCATCTCGCCTCTTCAAATCACTATGACACGCACCACTCTACACACTCGCAAGCCTTTTCGCTGTCGTTACGGCGTTAAGTGCTGCTCAACCAAAAGCTTACGACATGCTCATCACCGACTCCACACTCCACGTGGCCCAATCACACGCACATGCCCACCTCCAGCAACTTTCCTTCAATTCATATGTGCGCACTGCCATCGCGACATCACTTTTGCTCTACCCTCCCACTCTCATCACATTCCCACTTCTAAAGCAAATACAAACCCCGACAGACATTTCACATCCTTTAAAATGCTCTCACCGCATTAGTCTCATTTTCACTTTTCCCTCCTCTTCCGCCTCCTCCTCCTCTTTAAGGCCCCAACAAATTCTCCTCCTCGTCCCTTTGCTTCTCTCAATATTGTTCTTCTCGTCTTCTTACCGCCTTCATCTCTAACACATTTTGCATCTCCCTCCTAATCATCCCATTCTGCTTCATTCACCACCCCCCATCTCCCACACACACCCACAAATTAAAACAATCAACCCAATTCTTCAATTATAGTCTCACGCTTGACTTTCCCATCTTACTTACCACTTCCATCAGTCAAAATACCTCATTCAAATTCCCTCTTGCATTGCACTAAACGATTTATTGGTAGCTCTAGCAAATGCACACTAAGTCACTTGCTTTCCTAGATTTTCAGCTCACATCATTTTATCCTCCTCGATGCAAAACAGGAGATTATGGCTCAGCCCAACATATTTGCTGCCATATGAGTGAATTACGTAAATTATAACTGCGTGAGTCCATTCTAATTTATGTCCCAGATGTGCAACACATCAAAGCAATTCAAGAAACTGTGTATTATGATTATTTAATAGTTTGACAAGCGAATTTTGTAAAAAGTTTAATTCAGCTGAAACGAACTTTCACGAAACACCTTTGTAAATAACAAAAAACATACATTGGCATTCCCATAACGATTTATGCTGCTGAATGAAGAATTTGGCTAATTGTAGCACCCGAATACTTATAACTGAAACCCATCTCTCTTTTGAACTCAGAATGGTCTATGCTACTCAAACTATTGCAGTGCATATGCTCATTTGAGAAGTCTTTCCACTAGCTTTTGAAAGCAAAAAATTTCTTAAATCTTTGAAATCTTCAATCCATCGTTCCTAAAGGGAGCAATTAATAAAAACAAATTCATTTGAAATATGCATCTAGGTACAAACTAAAGAAGATTTTCAAATGCCAAAATTTGCTCAACAAATAAACCTTGTTTAAATATGAGAAATGAAAGTGGTTAGTTATTGTGTACGGCAATATAAACTAAAGCAAATAGTGTAGATAAGAATGATAGAGTGAACTGATAATGCAATAGATTCCTAAACATTATAATGAGCTTTCTAGCAAAATGCGAATTAATTCTGACTACTAAAGCGGACACGCTTTTTCAATTGAAAACGGTAAATGACGAATAAAGGTTTCCATAAACTAGCTTGGTTGAAATTTTACAATAGTTTCATAATGATTTACCATTAGTCCCTTAGTTGGCTTCGACGTTCACAATAGGTGGGTGGGGTGGGGGGAGGGGTGAGGGAACAACACATATTTTGTTGCCGATGGTGATACGAGCAATGACTGGTTTGTGACCAGACTCATGCTTTTGCAACCGATGGTAATACTAGCAATGACTGGTTTGTGACCAGAAAACCAGGATCATCAAATGCTCACTGATGTCTTCGTGTGCGGCGTGTATGCTCGCTGATGTCGCTTGAAGCCAAGAGGAAATACGGCGTGTATGCTCACTGATGTCGCTTGAAGCCAGGAGCAAGTCGCGAGTATGCTCACTGATGTCGCTTGAAGCCAAGAGGAAATATGCTCCTGATGTCGCTTGAAGCCAAGAGTAAATTGTAGCCGGATCCTCATTGCTGCAATATACGTTCCAAAGGGTGGCTGTTTAGCAAGTCTTCGATTTCCTTTCCAGCCTTGTTTGTATCCCTGTAGCCCCACATGGTGGAGTGGGCGTTGAAGTCTCCTAATACTACAGTTTTGTGTGAGATGTTCAGAAAGTCAAAGTTGGGACTATTCTGGGGTGGATTATAGACTGCATATATCTTGAAGTGGTTTTGACATGTCCAAACATTTAATCTGATTATTTCGCAGATGTCTTGTGTCGAGCCCATACTCTTGATTATATCGTAATGTGAGGTGAGGCCCTCTTTTACTCCAGTCAGAATTCCACATGCATCTTGACGGCATTTAGGTAGAAGGTACAGGGTGAAACCTGGGAATTGGTAGTACTTCAGTTTGTCATCCGAAAGGTCTGTTTCCATAATTGTGAAAATGTCTACATCATAGATTTGTAGGATTTTCTGGACTTGGATCTTTTTGTCCTGTGACACCCCTCCAGCATTCCACTGGAGGATCTATAGACGTTGCGATTCGCCCTGACGAGGAGGATTTCTCTTATAGCCTTGCTTCAAGCTAACCATAATAAATGGAAGTCAGATCAAATGCCGAGTGATAGACTTTTTTGCCGTACAAAGGTACGTTGTCCAGGGTGCACCACGTGGAGGTAAGTCTATCTCGCACCCTTACTTGATGAATTGTATGTTGAGATGTTGAAATACTTATTTTGGAAGGGATAAGTAGACGATGGAGATGGTGGGTGAAAAGGTGGAGGGAAAATAGGACGTAAAGACTGGAGAGGGAGGGGAAGTATGTTGTGGAAGAGGGGTAATGGAAGCAAGAGGGGTAAATTTGTGACAAGTGAGTTGAGGTCATATTGAAGGATGTGAAATGTTTGTCGAGGTGTGTATTTGCTTTAGCAGCAGGAATGTGATGAGAGTGGGAGGGTAGAGCAAAAGTGATGGACGCGGATTAAGTGGTGCTTGTGGAGTGATTGTAACAAATGGAAGTACATGAGTTGAAGCTGGAACAAGAGTGAAGAAGGAGGAAAGGGCGTTGAGGTTGCGATGTTGTTAGAGGTGATTTTGGTGCTGTGGAATTGATTTTGTGGCAATAAAGGTGGGGATGGATGAGGTGGTGTGGATGCAGTTGTTAGTGCTGGTGGTGGGTGTGGGTGTGATGGTCTTGAATGTGGAAATTGTGTGTGTGAAATTGGGAGTGGCGGAGAGAAGACTTAAGTGTCTCATTGCAGTAACAGTGCCTGTGATGTCAACATCAGCACGAGTAGAAGGAAGAGGAGTTTGAGGAGCTGAAGAGTTGAGGGTAAAGTGGCTGAGGGTTGGAAAGTGTGGGGTAGTGTGTGTTAGTGTGTGGAATGAGGAAATGGAGGATTTTGTCGGAGAGGAAGCGGAAAGATGTGGAGCCGCGTAAGACAGGGTATTCGATCTGAGTGTGGAAGGAGGTGGGGCTACCTGTGCTGGATTATGTGCATGTTGAAGATGCAATCTCCATTCATGCTCGTTG